TTCTGTTCACCGAAAGACGTTTGAAAAATGGATGATCGAATTATATATTTCTTACTCATGACCTAAGGCATTTCATGCAAAATCCGAACCAAAAACAATGGCATTGATTATAACATTGTGCATTTTGTCGGTAAAGTCTCTGCTATTTGCCTGGTCATCTATATCAATTTGGAATGTGGCACTCGACCGCGGTTCCACGACGAAAGGGTTTATTTATCTAGTAGTCACACACAAGCAAGAACACAGAGATAATCCCTTTTATAGCGACCGCCACTGTCAGGAGGTCACGATTGGACGGTTTGTTCCCGTTCGTGCGCCAGTTGGCCAACCAGAGTTTATGAACAGCTGGTCATGCGTCGTGGGCGAATCAGCTTCGATGGTTGAGGTTGTTTCTTCCTGACCGCGCTGTTTGAGATGAAGTCGTGATTTGTCAAACGACCTTGCTTGTTCAAGCCGTCGAGTTTATCACCCTAAATAGAATTCTGCGCGAATACCTAAGTCACAGACTAGTTTACTCTGCATATTCTAAGTGCTAGCTACCTGAAGCTATAGATCACATGTGATACATCCTCATCCTGCCATATCATGCACTAAGAGGATATTAACTTACAACGAGAAGAATGACCTCCTTCTCAATAGGCAAGGATACCACTCTGACATTTCAAAATGTGCAGGTACGCTGAGCCTCTCAACCTTGTCACTTCGGACATGGATCAAGGCAACACGCTAGGTGGGACGTCGGTCTGAGTCAGCATCATGAACTATTTCGCTGTTTCTCTCTATACAGACAATAATTCCTGCCCATTTTCTGTATTAAGACATTTTTATGCCTGTGTGAGAAGAGCAGAGTCTGTTATGTTTATCTGACATCTCTTCTCGCGTCAAATCCCTTTCACACCTTCCACGTTGATTGTTCATGCTTATTTTTTGCAGGTTATAATATCACGGAGTTTTTAGTTCCTTTCATTGTTATTGTAGTACGATCTTCTATTTGTCTTTCGCCAGATCCGCTTCGATGAATCCTTTTTTCTCTTAGATCTGTATTGTTCTATCATGTTAAATTTAAGGTGTATTCCTCTTTCCTGCTGTCGATCATTATTTTAAGTTTCTTCCACATATTCTATCGCAACATATGGTATAGGTCCAGCCCTGATTTTCTTTTTGGGGTTCAATAGTTTTCACAGTTTTTAAGCCGGCTGAAAAGTCAGATCGTGGTTGAAGGTCAAGTTCATTAAATTGCTTACTTATACAGCTTAAATATGAGTTGGACTGGTCAGAGGGTCGCTTAAGGATTTTTAAAAATAATTAGCTCACTCATTAATTGAATTCATCAAGAATGATAGACGGGAAAGAACCATATTAGTCATACGGATTAGCTGCATAATAACTTTCGTTCTTAGTTTTCTTCGCTTCCGATACGTGGTTAAAGAGCAGTAGTAAAAAAGTAGCAGCTAAAAAGGCGGCATAAGAGTCTTTGTTTACCCATGCGTTTTCACGCTGTAATGTAACCCCAGCGTCTTCGATGTAACGTACAAATTAACCAGCACGCTGCTACGAAAATTTATAACACATATGAGTGACAATATCGCTTATTGCACTAATTGTTTCGAGAAACCTGGCCGATGACATTAAGTCAAATGGCCAAAATAAAGAGCAAGTCAAATTTTATCTCATACAGTCATTCTGATACCTTATCATATCACAATGCAACAACAATGGCATCAGTGAAAGTAAACTACGGACCATTGTAACGTCCTAAAAGTAAAACACTGAATTGTAACTCATAAACCAGTGCGAACAGAAACCCGTGATCAGCGATGAATTCCATTTGACTTATGGTGGGAAATTCCATAGCAAGCTTCCTGTCAAATTGAGCTGACGCTGATGGTTCACCTCCTTCTTCGTCGACCTGAAAGCAAGTCATATAAATCACTTTGACACAGTCGACCTGATCTAACTAAAACCTCAACAAATGTGGCGTGAAGAAACGACGAAACCCGTAAGTGGTCTGTGTGGCTTATGCCGGAAAAGTTTGCGTCCGCTGAAAAGATATTTCCCAGCCCGAGCTGCTTCAGAGAGTTGTCAAGATTCAATGTGGATTTGATCGCAAACTTTGGAATTTGCACCTGAGGTGATAAATCAGAGGTTAGGTTGCCAACGGATCGCTGATTAATCGCAAGAGTACCTGCACGGTGTTTGGCTTAAGTGCACTCACGAGGTCGAGCAACTTTTCTGTTGTAAGCGTTTGTTCGAACCTCGACAGGCCAAACCGTTCCTTGGGCAGAAACATGTAGACGGTGAGGTTGCCGTCATCATCGCATGGCAGTGCGAGGACTTTGCATTCTTCATTTTCCGCGAACGGAAGTTCCGTTACTTTACTCATCATTTTGACCGACACTTTTCGATCCGCTGAAACATGAAAATATCCGTTCCTCGTTAGGCTTGGAGAAAATTTTTTTTCCCATCGGTTCTTATAATGAACCACGTTCGTGATCATTAGACTTGCCAATGCATCGACCGAGTTTTCCGCAATGATGTGTTCAATTTTCCCATGAGTAACTTTAGCCACCCAATCGTTAATTTCAGGAATGGCAGCCCCAGCATTAGAAAAAGTGACGGTGACCACCGACGCGTCAAAGTTGCGGACGAGTACCTCCCTGTACGAGTCCGATACGTCTATTTCATCGTGGCAATACAGGTGGCTTGCAGTAACGAGGTTGTTCTTACCATTGACCTCTGTACTGAAGGGAAGGAGTAGCTCGGCAGCGAATAACGGCATTTCATGGTCACTGGAAAAAGATCGAAATACAACATCCTTTAGCTGCTGTTTAGTGTGTCCTGATGACCCGTAGAAAAGAGCGGCGAGAGCTATGGTAATTGACACGGGAGAGATGCACACTGATTCCTTGCCAGGTGCGACGTTCTGATAGAGATGAACCATAAAATCAGTAAATGCGTTTTCCAGTGATATCATTTCAAGCGACTCCATTT